AAGGGTGAGAAAACTGAAACTTATCGACACTGAACCCATCTGTTGAAGGCTGCACACGTGAAAAGCGTCAGTTTCATGACCGGATTGGCTAAACACCACTGCGGATGGGGTTTTCTTTCAGTGCGTACCCTGCACACTCACTCGCCCATTTCCTTGTCACAACTCTTAGGAGGTAAGCGATACCCCTTTTACAGAGAGGCCCAGGAGGCTAAGGCCCAGGCGGTGCTCCCCCCGCGGCGTAGACTAGGCAGCAGCGTGCCCGGCGCCCCGCCGCCCTGCTGGGACTCACACTTGCCTGAGTTCCGGCGGGCCCTCCCTGGCCCCGAGGCCCGGGCCGGGCGGACCAGAGCCCGCACCTCCGCGGACCAGGGCCGCCGCCGTCACGAGAACCGCACTATCCCTGGAAAATTCGGCCGCCTTCCCGACACTACCGCGGGGTGGACGGGGGACGGAGCCCACACCAGCTCGGCATTTCCCAGACGCCTCCGCGTCGGGGACAAGTTACTGGCGCTTCGCACGTCCCCCCGTAAAACCACACTTCCCAGAAGGCTGCGCGGCCGTGCGAGCTCCGGGCGCCCGGCGAGAAAAACGGCCGCGCTGTCTGAGGAACGCCCCGGCGGATGGCTCTCGTCGCAGAGCTGCTCCACCGGGACGCGCACGCGAAGCATCCAGGGGACAACAGGATCGCCCTCTGCTTGCTTCTTAAGTACAATGGCGCCCGAACCACGAAACTACACTTCCCAGAAAATTAGGCGGCCGCGAAAGGTCTTCCGGGTCGCCGGTCTGCTCACGCGTACGTCCTCCTGCCGGGACGTGGGCTGCCCTTGCTTGGTGCCGGCGGAGAGCTGGCCTCTGCCAGCGGAAGGTCTCCTCTCGTACAAAAGCCTGGGCCACTGTGGTTAGCACGTGAGGGTCTTGAGTGTTCGGCGTCCGCTTGCCCAGTCCTGTCGTTCCCTAAAATGCCCTGTGTCCGGGCTTTCATGGTAACAGTTGTCAGCGCACAGACGCCACTTCCCGGAAATGTGTGCGGTCGCGTCGCGGCTCTGACACTGACTGCCGCCGTCACGTGTACAGGTCCTCGAAGGACTCAGAAATGACAGGCTCGAGCGAACGCTTTGAGGAAAAAGACCTTCACTCCTCCGATAACGGGCAGAGCCTACCCGCCCTGTCCCCAGAAGCGCTGACCTCGCCCCGCCCACCCAAACGCGCGCCACCTGCAGATGTCCGCAGGCCAAAGCAGCCTGCTGCGGGTGTATCTGTGGGTTTATCCTTTACTTTCTTTTAATTTATAATTGTTTATTTCAATTGTATTTATTTTTAAATGATAAATTGTGTGGCTATGAATTTTCTTGTATATGTCAAGTACTTATGTGTATCAGATTAATCAGTGTGCCTCCACCTCGGTATGTATCTTGTGGGTGTGGTGCTTAATTCCTATAGCAAGAGTAGTTTGCAAAAACACTGTGACACCACCTAGATTCTTCTTAAGGGTTACAATATGTAAGAGGAAAAGATCTGCCAATGCAAAATATATTCCCATCCACGTCTTTATTATACAATGACAAATTGTATTCCAAAATTGTACCAATTTGCACTCCCAGCATGGTTGATAGTTATTTTGGTTGCCAGCTATTACTGCCAGCACTTGATTTTGTGAAATTTTCAGATTTTGCCAGTCTGCTAAGTGTGAAATTGTGGCTCAATGTGGCCTAAATTTGCATATCTTTTGTCGTTAATAAGGTTGAGAATCTTTTCATGTGTCTGTTGGCTTTAATATTTCCTTCTCTGAGAATTGCACATCTCTTGGTCATTGTTCTTTTAGAGCAAAAGCCTTTTCGATATTAAAATACATGCCCTACGACCCAGCAATTGCACTGCTAGTTATCTATCCAAGGGATACAGGTGTGCTATTTCGAAGGGGCACATGCACTCCAATGTTTATAGCAGTCCTATCGACAATAGCCAGAGTGTGGAAAGAGCCTAAATGACCATTGACAGATGAATGGATAAAGAAGATTGTGTGTGTGTGTGTGTGTGTGTGTGTGTGTGTGTGTGTGTGTGTGTGCTCACACCCAGCTGAGCCATCCAGGTGCCCCAGACAAGTTCTGGACAAGTTCAGACAAGTTCTGGGATTACTACCAGTCTGCAAACACTTTAAACTACATTTAGATATAACAGTCCCTGCTTGGTCCATCCAGTAAATTTTACGTACGGATTCTGCATTGTTGCTGCTTTTTCTCATAACCTTCCTGAGAGAATTATGAAGTCTTCCCATTATGAGCCTTCAGATATTTGGCACATAAATTAAGTTCACGGTGGGGTGAGGGGAGTGGCTAACCTTAAAAGACTAGATGGGGCTGGGGCAGAGGTGAGAAGTTTAAATAAAGGGCTAGTCCTTTTGTTTCAGTAGCTCTTTATGTCCAGCTCTTAAAGAACTTGCTTCAAAGCTGAAACCCTAACATGTGAGCACTCCAAAAAGGATAGAGGCACTCTAATGAGTAGAGAATAAAGAGAAATCCAGGGGCAGGTGGAGCGGGAAGTCACAGGCACAATAAGCAAGCTGGTTTTAAATATGCCAGTCACTTGAGAAAGGAAATAGGGCCAAAAGAAATCAGTAAGGAGATAGGAAAATACATGCCATACTGAACCCACTCCTCCACTAGCCCTGCCTTCGTTTTCTGTTACTCACTATTTACAGTAAATGGTTTTGCTGCTGGAAATTAATCCAGGGCAAATTTGAGAATATGAATTTGGGAGAAGAAAAGCTGATTCATACTGATTCTGAAACTGTTCCAAGACTCATGGCAATAAGTAAGTTTGGAACTCTAGCTTCCAGAGACATCAAAAAAATGACATAATTTTGCCATGGGGAGAGAGATTCCTGCTGAGACCTCTGGTAGAGATCCTTATCCTTGTTATTGTCCCATCCTCCATCTGTCACTTTGTAATAAGCCTACACACATGCACTATAGGCCAAAGTTTTGAATCCAAGCGTCTAGTCCCAGTTCTGTCACTGATTGGAAGACCTCTCCATTCCCAATCTGGCCCAGGCCTGACCCCAGGATGCCCAGTGTAGAACCTGTGCAGAGCCTCCAAAGAAAACCTTCATGTTCTCTCCTTCCATCCTTGAGGAACTCTGACATCCTACATCTCCGATTATTTAGATGACCAGTATTAGGTTCACACTGAAGGGTGAACTCAGTGGGAAGTGTCAAGTGTGCATACGTTGACCAACAGTGTATAGCCATTGCTTTGGGAGGTTGGCCAGGTTCCCTGAGGAAAACTAAGGGCCGGTGTCAAGAGCCCCGTTTGTGGGCACACCTGGGTGGCTCAGTTAAGTGTCTGACTTTGGCTCAGGTAGTGATCTCACGGTTCATGACATTGAACCCTGCATTGGGCTCTGCACTGACAGCATGGAGCCTGCTTGGGATTCTCTCTGCCCCTCCCCCTGCTGACTCATGTTCTCTCTCTCTCTCTCTCAGAATAAATGAATAAACATTAAAAAAGAAATCCTAGTACTCACATGTAACAAGGGGCCAAGTATAATGCCATGCTTTCTTATCTTTTTCTTCATGTATCCACTCATTGTTATAAGCCCTGCTAAATCTCTCTATTTTTTTTTAAATTTTTTTTCAACGTTTATTTATTTTTGGGACAGAGAGAGACAGAGCATGAACGGGGGAGGGGCAGAGAGAGAGGGAGACACAGAATCGGAAACAGGCTCCAGGCTCTGAGCCATCAGCCCAGAGCCCGACGCGGGGCTCGAACTCACGGACCGCGAGATCGTGACCTGGCTGAAGTCGGACGCTTAACCGACTGCGCCACCCAGGCGCCCCTAAATCTCTCTGTTTAACCC